CCTTTCAATTGCTCTATATAATGCACACATACATATAATCTCTTTTTCTGTCGATCGATAAAGTTATAAGCAACGATGGATAGTAGCTAGCAGTGGAATCCACGAAGCGAGTTTCGTCTTATTGTGGACTCGACATCTGGATGCACCTGCATCCCCGAGTTGATGTTCACCCCGGGACTCGAACCCAGTACTATTCCCTTCAAACTCCATTACGTTATCCGTTTAGCTACTGAGTCGAGACAGCCACTAGCTCGTGCAATGGGGTGAAGTTTAAATTCCCTTTGTATTGTTTGAATCTTCTCATTGATGTTTAGGACTGTAATTGACCAGTCTCTTATTGGCATACGTGCATTCTATAAGGATTGCATCGATATTGCCCTTATTCACAAGCGTTATAAGCAAAGATAAATGGCGGCTAGCAGTGGGATCCAGGACGCGTGTTTCGTCCTATCTGGGACTCGTCAGCTGCATACATTGATTGCATTCCTAAACATCATTAAGGAGATTCAAACAAGCAATACGAAATGATTGATAGTTACTTGTTAACGCTTTACCCTTAATGTATCAGCTTGATTGTTTTTTTTCTTTATATTTACCGATTATTTCAACTGATCTCGATCGATTTTAAACGTGTTTAACCTGACCTTAATAATTAAATGGTTTATCTTTTTTTTCAAAGGTCAATTGATTCCATCTGTAGTGAGAAAAATAAGTAGGATTCTCAAAATGTTCATCATCATAGGTCGATTTATCTCGGGATTATTTTTTAGATTTAAATGTTGACCTGTTTTACACATACTTATAGTTAAAATCAGCATGATTAGTAGGAGGAGTACCCTAGTTATCCATTAAATGGCAGTAAACATCTAGAAAAGATTATTTACATTTTTTATTTGACACCATTTATTTACACCATTGAATTCAATGTATTATAGGATTCTTGCGCATATCCCCTCACTATCCCGGATCATTAATGTTTTGTTAATGTTGAGGTCGTTTAAATTCAATTGTAGGAAGTTGTGAACTAAAGTTTTCCACTAATAATATATGTTCATCATTAAAGCTTTTATTTGGAATGCTGCAGATAATCAGTCTAAGATCATTGAACATCTGTTTTGCGCAGGATCATATCCATTGATGTCGTTCTCAATAAACTACTTTACAGTCGTGAATAATCTCTTGTAGATGGTTAAAATTAGCAATCGATCCTGGACCTCTGCCTAAGTCTAGTTTTCACTGCTTGATAGAAAGTAAAATAAATTGGTGTTATGCTTAAATTGACATACTATTGAATTATTATAAGTAGCTATGTACCAATCAGCATTAAATTTTAGTCAACCAGATCTTGATAACTTAAATGTATGACTGTGAAATTAAAGTCAATTGTTCAATATAGCACTGGTGTGTTTTAACAAACTCAACTTGAACATTATTTATATAAATAAGGCTTGGACTATGATCTGTTTCATATCATTGATATTTATCTGGTTGGTTACTCCATTAACCCTATCGGAGATGAAAACTAGGATTGTCACTTATCAAATCAATCATAATCAATGTAAGGCCTGGTATAAATGGACATCTGTATAAGTTACAATGTTGTTACATTTAGATCAGTCAATTAGTTGGAAGCCAATGCTCGAAATTTCCAACTTAAGTCAATATATAATATAGCACAGTAATTGCTCAATGTCATCGGTGATGTTTATCTCATTTTCAATATGATTAGTCATCACGATTCACAGCTTCTCATAAGAAATTTTATTTCGTTTTGAGACTGATTTTAACCTAGGTTACTGTTTGTCAACAGTAAAACAACAGCTCTTAACGGATTAAATAACTATGTTCACAATCATCTTGTCACTGATTCCAAAATCTCTACCCTAATTCAATTTGAGCAGTTAATTAGTATTAATAGCCCTCAAGGTAATAATATACTTTACTGACGAATAATCGAGATTTAAGATAGCAGAGTTCAAGACACAATGACAGGTAGCTTGTAGCTTATTAAGAGTTAAGTAGGAACTAAGTAGAACCTACCAATATTCTGCTACTAAGACGCTCAACATTAATTTATATTACAATACTAACAATTAGGAAAGGGCTTAAGCGATTCTTAGGTTAGTGTTGAGACTGTGAGGAAGTTTTAAATGGAACAAAGTAGTACAAAACAAGTAGAATTCAAGTGTAAATAATAGTTTAACAATAATTTATACGTTTTTCAAGGTAATTTAAAAGTTCTTGATATTTTTAATTATAGAAAAGACTACATAACCATTCATCCATACATCTCCATAGCATTCTTCCTTTATATTCTTAACCATTATAATCAACTCTTAACTTCAAGCCCCATCCTAAACTCCTAACTCTTAAGAATTAATCCTAGGATCCGAAGGCTGAAACTATTTTTTTCTTAGACACTTGTATTTCTCACGAGGTTATGTTTTCCTCTTGACCTGTAACACTTTGTATTACTGATGAAAAACAGTTGATGTAGAAATTAATATTTCAGGTCACTACTTAATGAAGTAGAAATTTTTATACTCCGAATTTCAGTTCATGCTGGTATGTTGTCAGAATAACTTTATTATGGAATTTATTTTATTGCCAAACCAATTAGCACAAACCATTTAATTACCTTGAATTCAATAAAAAACGAATTGGATTATTCCATTGTTGGTATTTTTGATTGAAAGTTGATCAATCTTAGTCGCACGTATATGCATTCTGTGCGGATTGCCTCGATATAACCAATATGATATAAATTAAATGTAATATGGCTAGCAGCATAATCCAGGATGCGCGTTTCGTCATATTTTGAACTCGTCAGTTGTGTGTAGCTGTATCCCAAAGTTGATGTTCATTAAGGGACATCAACTTTGAGATGCAGATACATACAGCTGACGAATCGCAAATAAGATGAAACTCTCGTTTTGAATTCTACTACTAAACGCATCTCAATCGTCTAAATGACCCAGTCATTTTACTTACATATTGCTTAAAGACATATATATATATATATATATATATATATATATATATATATATATATATATATATATATATATATGCCAAGAGTAATCTTTTTGCTACCTTTTAGTAGCATCATCATCGTTTCTCAGTGAGATATAAGGTTTTTGAAGTAGTATTCATATGTTTTGCCGATTCATTTATTATCAATGCAAGTTCATTCTAGCTGTTGTATTAAATTCACTTCAACTATTTTTCAAGTAAAATTATTTATCAACAACAGATTTATTTATTTGACTTTAATGTCATATTGTGTATAGTGTGTGTAACTGAAACAAACTAGTCACTATAAACAAGCTACTTGAATGAAATGATTAAAATCTGTTTCAATCTTTCAACTGGATTCTATTCTATTTCTATTCGATGTTTGTATTTGAATAGGCAACCAACAACAACAAAAAAAAGAAAGAAAAACAAAACTAAACTAAACAATATTGATGTAGAATTATTTGAATTTTATCTTCTCATCACCTTTATTACCCGGACTCTTTCTCTTTTCACATTCATATATGTTGTCAACTTTTTATTACAATGAATATTCTATCTCTACATTATCTTTATTATTGATTGATTAATTAGTTAGTTAGATAGTTACATTTAATGGTTTATTTGTTTATTGATACGTGACAGGAAGGAGAATACTTTGACTAATCTATAATTTGTAGTATGGATATTTGTATATTTGTTGTTCATAAAATGAATTCACAAATTAGTTTTTGTTGTTGTTCTTGTTGTTGTCTGTTTTCCTTTCGCGAAACTGTTTTACCATACATGAATAAATGAATAATCAATATGGTTATGTATAAATGTATGTGTTTTTCAATCAGTAACAAATGCCCTGGTAAGGTCAAGTGTGAAGAGAGTTAGCGCTCCTCTAAATGCTCTCACATAGCCACACGTATACAGCCACTTTCAGGGAATTCCTACACTCGGCCTTCTCTCAACGGGGGTGTTGTTTACGAAGTTGAGAGGATGAAAAACGAATGTCTTGCGCTTTGGCCAGGTTGGTGTTCACGGAGGATCCACTTAGGGAAGTTGGAAAACTCTGATTCCAAATCAATGGTGCACATGGGCTCCAAGATCCTGAGATAATGAATAGTGTATAAACGTGTTGTTGGTTACCGGCTACCATTGGGACTGTTGATTAGACCTCTAGGTCAAAGGTTCAAGGATTGGCCTCCTAAATAAACCACCTGCTTCTGTTTGGGGGCCCGGAAAGTATCCCAGCCCTCGCAAAAATCAAATGATTTTTATAGTGCACATATATTCGGTGCCTCTTTGTACCAACCTTTATATGTTTAAATAAATAATAAACTGAATAGCAACTGAGCTGTCCGTTGATATGTCGTTTAAAACCCTCTTGGGGGTTACTAAACATTAGATTCTCATGCTTGCTAGAAGTTTGTCAGTATTGTGTATTCATTACTCATTCTTCTCCCTATTTCTCTACTCGAAAGAAAACTTCCGAGGTTAAGGTGTTCGATTTTCAGTTATTAAGTCCCATGTTCAAGCCTTATTATACCTTCTCTGGTTTCGGTGACTTAAGTAGCTTCATTAGCCACCACAATTAAAGTGTGATTTGAAGCCTAGTTTACGACTATGCACACTGTGAGTTGCGAAAAACCCCAATTTTTAGTCAGTAGGTTTGAATTTGATTGTTCACATTTCCCTTACCCTTTCAGTCAGTTCGTGATATACCGCTTTCTTCTCCTGATAGTAGCTACTGAACGTTTTGAAGTGAAAATTAATTCCTTGATTTATTAAATTAAGTATCTCTGCTAATAAATGCCAACTAGCATGAAAATTAGGTCCACGGTTTCCTATCGTCGTCTACTTCCAATCACCCAACACTTCAATATGTTATGTTTGATAAAGCTGTTTTATTTTTTCCTCAACTGATGTTCTCTGTTCATATCATTTGTATTTTTTTGCTTTCTATTCACTGAATAAAAACACAAATAAAACTTTAGGACCACCGATCCCAGTCAGAGGTTATGATCAAACAGATATTGACTTAGTGAATCAAATAAGAATCTCATCTCGTCAATTGGATGTTACAACACCAGATCAATCGATTGATCATCATGATATTGAATCACGTAGAGTTCTTACAGGTGAATTGTAATTTTTCTCTCTTTTTTTTATTTATTCTTATGAAATGTATTCTGATAAAAATAACTAACAGTCATCATCATTTGTTTAGGGAACTGATTCTTAAAGCCACGTGAGTTAAATCGATTCCTTCATCTTCAAGTTGATTTGTCAGATAACAGGGCAATTAACAAACTGATTGAATAATCAGAATGGGGGTTTGTGGAGATTGCAGTAATTTTATTAGTTGAATTCATGAGTCGATCTAATCTAAACCACCATTGAAAACGGCCGTCCAGTGCTTCCAGGTTTTCAATGGTGGTCTAGATTAGATCGACTCATGATTGAATAATATTATCATAGGCAATCAAAGGTTTTATTCATAAAATAAGTAATGTTTCACAGATAGCTTGGCGCTCTAAGTAGACAAAATTCATGGCACTATAGGTATCTGATCGTAGTTCCTTGTGTATAGTGAAACTAAAAAGTGAACAATAATAACGTTAACTGTATGGTTTTATGTAAAAATAGCAAGGCAGTTGATACGGCTATAAACCTTAATCGTCTGAGTTGGCTGAGGTATTTTTTCAGACAGGCTTTACACATTTCATACTTTGACCGTATTCACTGCTGACTGGCTTTAGAATAGGTTGGGAAGACGTATAAAGCGATCAGATCAAAATCACGGCACCAATTTATGAAGTTATTAATTCTCAGTCTTAAGTGTTTCGATGTATACAAACTAGAAGATCTTAGATATGGGTCGTGCATGTTTTGTTTATCAACAAGGTGTATCTACTCCCAGCACAATGGTAAGTTAGTGATTACAATCAAATACGATGTTTGATTCCAAGCTGATCATGATATGTACACCTTTCGAACGTTTGATACCAATTTCCCAGTCACTTCTTAGATTCCTCAACTACTCCTAGACCTCAGCTCCAAATAGTAGAGCGAAAGCTCGAAGTAAGAATGGAGGCTTTACTTCAGGGTTCATTTATGTACAGAAAACAATAGTCGTTATTGGTTTGTTTTATAACCATTAAACTCTGGATACGTGCTAAATTTAGTATCAACGTAATCAGTCATGCAATCAGTGTTCGATTTATAATCCATCAATTTTCTAGAAGTCTTTGTGGTGTATGCTGATTGGACTCATTGTTCTCAACCTTTTTATAGCTTCTAATGATCTATATCGAGGAATTCCTGTGAGATGACCCAACATTTCTGTAGTATATTTATAATTTCCTATTTGGATTTCTACTTATTAATTTACTTATATATACCTTTTTCTCTTCCGTTCTATATGTTTACCGTTTTTCTTCTCTCAAATTAACATTGCTGTTGTCCATTCAATTCATTCCAATGATAATCATCATTTACTATTAGAAACAAATTATCGTCGTATAAATGTCTGTGAATCGTTGGCTAATCTACGTTCACCAGTATTATGCAATAGTACAAAACATAATTATCATCAATGTTTTGATGATTCCGATGTGAGTTTATGATTGCTTTTAACAAATGAATCCAAAAAAAAGAAAGAATTTAATAAGTGTATTAGTTCTAAGTATTAGAACACTTGTCATGTTGCGAATTCTCAACAGATTTTTAAACTATTTATATCAAGCTAACAATCTTGAAGAAATTTTAAGGAAGTAAATAGTTACTAACAAACGTGCACTTCATGATTAGCATAAGTATGGTAATCAGTAAGTAATTCCTATAATTTTTAAGTGACTTATATAGTGTAGAAACCTTTGGAAACGATGTCAAAATTAACACTTTTGTCGATATTATAATAATGTTAATAGTTGAGGTCATGAGTCTGGCTTCAAGAGGTATTTCCTGGAGTTCTAGTAAGCAGCAGTGACCAGTGGATTTCAACCAGGTCTGTTGTGAGATAGTAACTCATTAAAGACAATGGTGGATTTGTCGCTTAATTTCGTGGACTAGTTGAATTCAGACATTAACACCGCTGGATTCCGACTCAGTGGTCTAGTGGTTATGCGTTCGTGCGCGAGACCGGTAGGCCATGGTTTCAAGTCTCGCGAGGCGGTATGGTGTATGCGCACTGCTGAGGAGTCCCACAATATGGTGAAACGACCATCTAGTGCTTCCAGGTTTTCCATGGTAGTCTACATTCAGTTAATTCGTGAGCTCAACTACTGGAAGTTACCTATTATTTCAACTAATCTGATTACAATAAATCAAAGATGCAACTACATTTTACAGTTTAAACGGTAGATAGACTCATTCTTAGCATTATTTTTCTAAAATCTCTCTCTTTTTCTCAAAGGAAATGATTAACTTTTGACTGATTAATCGCTTACATAGTCATGTACATTGAACCATAGTTCCAATGTTTGTTGTATTTGTACATAAAATTGAATGTTATCTATCGTCTAACCAGTTAGGTTATGCGCTCATTGTTCCAACTAAATCCTTTTCAAGATAAACCTCATTATAAATTGTTATTTAATAGATCAATATTGGGAAAATATTTTGTTTGTTTCGTTCAACTTATCATTCTTCTGTCGAAGAACAGTTTTCCGTAAAATTAGTTTATTAATATTCAACTATTGATATGACGTTTTTTCAGAAAAGTGTGGAACAGTGACCTCATTTAGGTAACCGTATTGTATCATTAGCCCTTATACACGAACAATATGAATCAAACTATATAAACCTATACTTGATAAATAAATCATAATTAATGCCTTTACACTTTATTTATGCATAGCATTGTTGATCACCTTGGTTACAAGTTACAATTTAGTGTAAACTGTTTACAGAATGTAGTTTAAACTTTGTTTTTCTGCATTGTAGCTTTGTAATAACTACAATACCACTGCTCAAGCACTTGAAGTGAAGTATATGATTTTCTTATGGAGTGGAACCTCAAAACTTTTGTTTTAAGGTTTTAACCTATTATAAAGATGTTTCATGCCATCATGACGATATCCATTTTCATGTTATTCTATTGACAAAGTTATAAAACCTATTAATCAATCCTCTAGGATCCTTTGTTTCATGGTATCTCTATCGATTTTCTCTCTTTCTATCACTCATTCCTTTTTCATTTATCCATGTTTGTTTTCTGTTAAAGACTAATCAAGAATCTTCCGAATACGAACGTATTTATTCGATTACTTCCACGGAATCGACGGATAGAAATATTGTTCAATTAGTTTCAACTGAAAAACAAAATAATGAAACAACCATCTCACATGATAACAATAAGCTAGAACATCCTTATACAGAAATATCAAGTAAGTATATATATATCATTGACAGTGAATAAATTCTTGTAAACGTTTAGTCGAAAGCGCAAATTATGTAAAATCACTTGTATATTTCCATGTCCAAAGATGAAATCATACTGTCTACTGTAATTGAATGTTCTGTTAATAAATTGTTTCCCTTGAAAAACCAGTACCTCCAGCGATATTGCCTTCAAACAGATGGAAGAATGAGAATATCACGAAAAGTGTTTGTCATCCACATACACTTATTTTCAGCAACAATATGCAGTGTGAAATACAGTTTCGGTAGATCTGGAATAACATTTTATGAACTCGAACATTCAGTGCAGATGGTATTTGTGAAAGAAATCGAAGTTAGAAGAAGAGAGTTCTGTACGCGAATCTTAAGAAATATTAGCGTTATGACAGTGGTATTCACTTGCTGGTTACTTATACTGTAGAAAGATACCCCTTGATGGACCGTACAATCATCACACCCGCGTGTAGTTGACAGTATGACAGCCCCTGGGACTTAGTTTTTCTGCTCTTAGTTTTACTTCTCCCAACCAACCTGCATCGATTTTAAGGAAAGATCTTTTCAATCAATACTTTATCTCGTCTTCCTTAATGTGATATATCAACATAGACTAACGTACATTTATATCAGTCTCTTTATTGGATATGACTGATTTATAACTGACAGACAAGAATGCTAACTCTATTGATCAAATTTTGTGAAAATGTCAATTTTTTGTGTGTATCATCCAGGTTCCATTGATGATTTAGCTACTTATTCTCAAGTGTATTATTCCACAGCGTGTGGATCAATTGATTTTCCTATTGTAAAAACAACTGAATCATTCAATATGCACAATTCTTCATGTTCTCCAACAGTCTTGCATTCGAATTCACCTGACCAAAATACTGATAATAAATCTTATCCTTATGGTGATGATGTAATCATTAAAGAGTCTTGTCAACATAATGATTACAATACAAGTAATCATGCTAGTTTAAATGATAAAAATCAACCTATTTTAATTAGTAATCAGTCATTAACTCCATCGCTATTATCGGAAACAGTAGTTTATAGTGTAACGGAATTGCATCCATCTATATCATCCAATCTAAATGATAAAATGTTAGCTGAAATTCAAGCTTTTCGTCATATGGATAGTGAATGTAAGTTCATTGTTTTCTCTCTTATTATTATTATTAATATTATTATTATTATTATTATTATTCAACTTTATTAAATAGGTTTAAAACACAAAGTTCACTGAAGGAATCTCTTTTCAACGAATTTATTATCAAGCTGTACAATCATATATATATGAAAACGATTTGTTAAAGTACTAATTCCGTGAAGAAATGTGAAACACGAATAACCAAGATGATGTAATAGAAAGATTAGAATACTAGATTACATAATACGAATAACAAGAACATTAGATTTAGTGAATATAATAAAATGACTAAAATGTTTTTCACAGGTTGAAATCATGAGTCAATCGAAGCTAGACCACCATGAAAAACCTGGAAGCACTGGACGGCCGTTTCGTCCTAGTGTGGGACTCCCCAGCAGTGCGCATCCAAGAACCTGCCTTCGCGGGATTCGAACCCAGGACCTACTGGCTGCGCGCGCGAGCACTTGACCATTGGACCACTGAGCCGGCATCCAACGGTGTTAATGTCTAACTTCAACCAATCCACGAAGTTGCGCCACCGAACACCATTTTCTTCAGTGAGCTGATATCTCACAACAGACCTGGTTGAACTGCACTGGTGACGGCTTCTCACTAGAACTCCAGGAAGTTCTCCTGAAGTCAGTCACTAGTGAGCAGTTGATTATTGTCAGAATGAGTTTTTTGGAGATTTTTAGGAAATTTCACAGGTTGAAATCATGAGTCAATTGAAGCTAGACCACCATGGAAAACCTGGAAGCACTGGACGGCTGTTTTGTCCTAGTATGGGACTCCTCAGCAGTGCGCATCCACTCATGATTTCAACCTGTGAAATTTCCTAAAAATCTCCACAAAACTCATTCTGATAAAATGTTTTTGTTATAATAATTAAAGGTGTAAAAAGAAATGTGGTGATATGATGAGTATTTATGAATAAAATAATGAAAATATAAGATATAAGTAAAGGGGAATGTAGTAATAATAATAATTATTATTAAGGCCATGGTAACGATAACGATAAGATGTACTTCTTTTGTACGCATAGTTCTGGTTTTAGCTCATGGATGGTAAAAGCTTCGGCTATTTTTAGGAGTTGGATACGAAGAAATCTAGGTAGATTTGAACGAATTATGTATACGTAGGATGATTACAGTTGATTAGCTGTTCAAGTATAGAACTCCTAACTGCTTTCCTCTCACCCTTGTAAAACCAAACTGTGACGTGTTCTCGTATCCGAGTTGAAAGCGAGCGTTGACTACGGCCAATGTGCCTTGCTCCACTATAGTAGATGAACAGGTAGAAGCATATGGAGGCAACCAGACGCGGAAGCTCATTTTTTATGGTTACAGAAAATAAGTTCTTACTAGTGAAGGCTATTCGCAGTTTAGCCGCATCAAATGTTCTTCTAATCGTTGTTGTTAGACGATTTTTGATTACGTCTGATGTTCGATCACCTTTAAATTCCAGACTTACATAAAGGTTTTTCTTCGGGACGGAACAATTAGATTTCTTGTCGTAACTACTTCTATTCATATTATTTTCTATGAAACGTTCTGGGTAACCATTTTTCATCAAGGTTTTCTCGACGAATGCAAGTTCTTCGTTAATGCATTCCGTATTGCATATCCGATGTATTCGATAACAGTCTGCTAAACTTGGACCCAATGGAGACCCCATTGCGATCCCATCTCTTTGTCTATATATTCCATTGTTGAAACTGGACTGGACATTAAAAGTACAGCGTAACAATAGTTCTTTCAAGTGTTCAGTCGACAAGCCTAGATCTATGTTGTTAGAATCAACTGAGAAGATGATTCAATATGTGAATGTAAAATTGGTTGTTACTTCGATGTGTAAATAACATTAATCGAACTCTACAAATCAATTTGTAATGTGGTCTACTAATTGAAGTGACTGGACATCACAAACTGTATGTTCAGTGTTAGGTAGCTGGAGGTAATTGATAGGAGATTGATAGGAAACTTGGAACAATAACACGTTGCATAACTGTGTATTTGTATGAAGATACAAAAAATTATAACTAGATCTTTATTGACTTGTCAGTTTCATAAGCAAATTGTTAACGTCATACCAGCATTGATTCGACATTGTTTTGTCGAATCTTTTTTAAAGAAAACAGATTAGTTCAGCGAAAAGTTTTCTATTCAGTGAATTCATTTTCATAGCTGTACAATCTCAATATATATACTTAAATAAGAACTTTCGTCTAAATGTAGTCGAATAGTTTCAGAGTATTTAGGCGCCGAGTTGATGTGAGAAATTAAAGAGAAAGAATGTATTTGTAAAATCTCAGCGAATGAAGTTGAAGTAAATCCAACGCTACGCCTGGCAATCTAGTTCAAGCTTTTTCAAGGAAATATAATCAAACATTAAAATTATCGAATATAAACAGGTACATGGTTCTCCGGTTGACTGTATACTGAATAGGTCATCCAATCAATCAATATATATATATACTTATTTTTTCAGGATGATAATAATTACAATAATATTGTTAATAAACTTCTGTTAGACATGGTGACAGTGAGGTAGAATAAAGAAAGGTATTAAAAAAATTTTTAAATAGGGAAACTAATAATCGTTTGATTGTTAATGACTTAAATATTCATCAAAAGATAGATAGGGAAATTATCATTGGGAAAGGATGGCTCAGCATGATAAGATTAAATGTAATCAGGAGGATTGTAGAAACAGAAATAAACCAGTTGGGGGTAGAAGGTTTAAGGAGAAGATGAAGGGGAAGCAGATGGCTATAAAGGAAGAAGAGTATGAAGAAAACAATTACAAGACATTAAGATCATGGTAGAAGAAGTTGTACCAATCTCTTTTGAACATACAATTCTGGTTTTCCCAGATGTATGACTATTGCTTCTGCAATGCTAAGTAGATGCAATATAATCGTCTTTGAAAGACTTCTGCTCACCTTGTAGATGACTTTGAACGCAGAGTCTGTCTTGATTGAGTGACCTGTGTTCACAAGGTGTTCGTTTATTGAACTTTTTATTGAGCCGTTTCCTCCTCTTCTTGGCCACGCCGAATAATGTTCTTGAGTTCTTTTGGATAAAGTACGCATCGAACTACCTATATACCTAGCTCCACATGAGCAGGTAAATCCATTTTCATCTTTAATATACATCCTGACATATGTTTATGTATGTTTTACGTAAAGCTTCATCAATACCCGAACAAATGTTGAATTAGTGAATCTGAATTTTACACTTATTCTCTCTGACATAAATCACTTATAAAATGTTAGAACCACGACTTTCTACCGATTTTCTTCAATTATGTCGTACGTAGTCAGTTACGCCAAATTTATTGTACATGATCCAGGCATCAGATCGACTTATTTTAGGGTTAAATAGTGTATTTGTGGTTGTGTGCATTGTAATAATATAGAAGACTTTGTGTCTGTGGCTCTAGTTTTCGTGTACTCAGCTTGGCGTCTGTTAAGATCCACTGTGCTCGATTTATCTACAAGATACACACGTTTCCTACACCCTTGCCTAATCAACAGTGGGGATGAGAAGACTGAGAAATGACTAGGAAGCATCAGTTTGAAAAACTATAAGATGTGCATAAATCATAAGTATTTACACATTTTTCCTTCCTAAACAAAATATTCGTATATGGACCGCACTTTGACCAATGGTATAATAAACTCTCTCTAATACTTTAATTCGTCTATAATTTCTCACCCACTTTTTGACTTTTTAATGCTATGTGAACTGTCTAACTTTTACACAACAAGCTCCTGATATATTTAAACTTATTCAGACTATCAGTCACACATTTCATACGACAATGAGTGTCAATGATATTCTATTTACAAAGCTACTTAAACCAAAGTAGATGGAGTATTTTGTTTGAACCTGTTACGTAACAATTACAAGTTGACCGTTCTAATCTATTAACCACCTTGCTTCGCACTAATTAGATCATACTTTTCAATTTTCTGTATACAGTTAAGTGATGTATATTTCAATTGTCTTCTGTTCAATTAAATGTTTTCCTAAGTAAATAGTCTCCAATTTTCCACAGTTTTGTTTATCATATCGTTTGGTTTAGAGAAAAATCATTTACACAAATCACTTATCCTTTTTCTAATATTCTATTACAGTGGATCTTACTCAATCTACCAAATATTTTATGGCGAATAATTCACAAACTGAAACACGTCGTTTATCAGATTCATTCATGGTAAGTGTATTAAATATTTTGCTATGTGAATTTTTTGTACACCACAGTATAGTTTATCAACCAGAGGGAAACATTAAGTTTATCAGCTATTAATTCGTTAGTAACGCAAGATGAAAGTTCCGGATTCAATGCGTGGGATGATTGACATCGTACAAAATCAAGGAATTCCATATAATAATGAGATAGCTATTCCCTAATCATTGCCAATCTGTAGAAAATTCCGCATACTTTTCCCGACTAACCGATAATTCGATGGATATTCTGTTGATTTGTTTGTAAATAATATGTTTAAAAGTGGGATTATAGTCTACTGACTATGAATCCCTTTTAAATGATCTGCTCAAATTATGTATTTGTTTTATTCTAACGTATAAACGATTTCAAATTTTTGAAGACAATCGGCATGAATCCTTAAGTAACTAGGTTTTATGTTAATTGCCATTCGACAGATAAGAGTTTATGTATAATTTTCGAAGGATAGAATGTCCTCTCTCGCTCTTCTTGCAGTCTACTTTTTGAACTGTATTGTAAATGAAGTCTAAGGTCAAAGCGTTCATACTAATTGTTGAGGACTATCAGATATCACCATATCTATGTGCTCAGAGCATCTTTAATACTAATTTCAACCACTTAACGATATAATGCTCTTATTGAATTAACTCACAAATTGAATAATCTGAGAAAATGAAAGAATCTACTAATTTATGCTACACAATCTCATAATTCATTTTTAGGTGTTTGTTAACCTTTACCTCAAAATATACTTCCTGTGGAAGTGGGAATGTTTAAAGCTCTAGGCTGGTATTTTCCAAAAGTACCACACCAAATCTATACGAGATCTAACTAGTCTTTTATGGTGCATTTAGATTAATAGCACAAATTTCCAACTTGAGTTGATGACTATCCAAAACCATCAGTTCACTAAATACTCAACCTAAGGTCATAAAAACTGTTTTACAAAATTTAAAGTACACAAATAGATTTTCTTCTTTCTAAAATACTTCTCGTTTATGGTGATAGACGTATCGCATTTTTATAGCACGTAACCTCCCTCAGATATCAATGTCTTCAATTGTTCTAAACATTTCACTAGAATCATATAAACAAGCGATTTTCCAAAAGACAATTCATTATCAGTTAACTAAGCAAATTAGTTGAAGATTGAAAAGCGCAATACCTTATCTTCATTAATAGTAATCATAGCAATTTCAGTATGTACACTTATCGGGCAAATAATCTGGTTGATTTTTATCACTGATCCTGATACCCTTTTATCGTAATTTGGGGAATCCATTCTGAAGCTGGTGAATACCAACGAACACATAACAACATTTAATCACGTATTCTGGATTAAACCCTTTGAGTGATTAAAGGTGTTGTGACATGTAGTGTCTTATTTTGACACCGATATCCAACCTTTCTATATATGAGCCAAATCGGCGACTTCAGTTAAAAAACTGGGACGAGAAGGAAGTTTACCAAGTACAGTGAATCGGAAATATATCTATATTCGTTCATATACATAGATCTATATATCTGTCACGTAAAAACTTAAGCAAACTGTAATGATTGTCATTCTTCAGAAATCAAAGTCATTTCTCAGAGAATCACGTGTACTTACCTGTTGACCGATTTCTGAATCATCTAATTTCTCAAAAATAATGAATTTCTTAAATTACTCTACTTTATAGTTTTTTTTATGTACTTTAATAATCAAATTTACTTGTTCCAACTTGATCTGTTTCTCTCTGTCTAAAACATTCACAGAATGAAAGTGAAGAGGAACAGAAGACTACGGGTGGCACATTACAAGTTGTAACACAGTCATTATATAACCAAAATCAACGTGAAGACACTGGACTAATGACTCCATTAATGGAACGTTCAACAGAAGATTGTTCACGACTGTCAACAATTCATCGAACTTATTCAAAAGCGATTAGATGTGATGGTCAATCGTCTTCATCATTATCACACTCAACAATTTTATCACCATCTTCTTTATCATTATGTAATAAATCAATTAAATCACCGGCAAATTATTCAATATCTGATTTTCCTTCTCCTGCCCTCCCATTGTTGTAACAGTCAGTGGTAATTGTAGTGTTGCTCCATTTGCACATGCTGAATTCTCTTTCATCTCTGATCCTTCAGCCTATGATGATATTGACAATCTTTAATTGATATACACAACTACTATAATGTATTACTGTAACAGCACCATCACCATTACTACTAAGTAGTAATAATAATAGTAGTATATGTGTCATTAATCGAAATTTTTTGAAAGACATTTCTATTTTATTGTAAATAATCACCTTTATTTATATTTTCACAATCAGTCAATCAATCAATCAGACATTCATTACACAATAGTTCCACAAGAATGTTGATCGCATTTAAATTGAAAGAGAAAATTGTTTGTTTGTTTGTTTATTTATAAATCACAATTCTACTTTCTATAAAAAATTGAACTTTACCCTGATTTTTCAAAGAAAAAATAACCAAACCAACAAACAACTAGTTTACTCATTTAGTTATCAGTTAGATAATTTTACGATTAAACAAGAAAGCTAGTTTGTGTATGTGTGTGTGTGCTTTTTTGGATGGGAGGGGGACACGAGGGTCCTCTCATTCAAATCTCTTCTAACAATTACGAATCTAATTATCAGTTGTTGTTTTTTTTTCTTTGTAAAATGAGAATGATTTAACTGTCGAATATAATCCAATAAATTTTGATCATTAGATCGTCATATTAAATGAATTCAACGTTATCTAGTTAAGATAAATGTGTTGGTTATTCTTACTGGTGATAATCTTTTAATCAATGAACTTTGTCAGATTTGATATCTATGATATAGAAGAAAAGGAAGTTCTGCTTTTATCACTGTCTCGCTCTCTTTCTCTCTCGTTCGAACATTCCTATGTATACTATTGCTGTGAGTTGGATTTGTTTACGTATATACATATTCATTCACATCAATCTTATCTTTGTGTGTGTGTATGTTGTTACGCATTTGCTTATTTTCATAATTACATTTTGTTATCTTTAGCATTATTAATAATTTTCTGTTTACTTATTTACCGGAGATTTTATTCTTTCTATTCATATTGTCCCCGTGTGGATAATTGATTCGAATTATCTCTACAATATAGTTTTTTTTTCTTTTGTAACTGTTATCCGTTACTTACTTACTATTGTTGTTAATAGTGAAGTTTTCTTATTCGGTTTCATATCATGTGTTTGTTCCATTTTTGGCTTTATCCTACTTAAGAATGATTTCATTATCTTAATAATTTTATTGTATGTATTCACATCTTATGGTTAACGTCTATATATTTTTGTTGTCTATCTGTATACGTGTTATTTGTTTGTATTTTAATAATTTTTTTTAAAAATAAAAAGGCTGATTAATTCACAATTGATTGATCACTGGGTGGTGATCAATGTCATGTGTGTCAAGTCCTTCTTAGTGATAACGTCTCTGACTATGAACCCGTCAGGGGGGCATCATTTCCCTCAACATTACAGACACACCTTGCTGACGAGTACCAAATAGCATCAAACCCGGATCCAGGGTTTCATGTTGACTACCTCCAACCACCATTCTAAGGCTGATTAGTTTTGTGTATGTTTCATTTCAGAATGATCATTATCCCTATTTGTATCTGATATGAAAGTATATTAAACGATAAAACTTGTAAGACAATAGTCAGAAAAATATTATAATGAGTCGATCAGAGAACAATGCCTAGTTACTCAATGTTCTAGAGTTTAAGTATTTTCGCGAGATCGAAGGTCCTGCTTTCGGAATTGTGGAGGCACACTGCTGAAAACTCTCAAATTTCAAAAATCTCGATTAAAAGCAATTACCTAGTGGATTTCAATGGCTACCCTACGGTTAATTCTACTTACGGATAATTGGAAATTTTCTAATACAAATGAGACAGACATTAATATAGAGTCTGGGATATATGTGCGTTAGCTCAAGCTGTTATATCTGATTAGCACAACGAAATGAAAATAACAAAAGCGATTTAAATAATGCAGTAGCAGTGATTAAAAGAACATTGGACCTTGAAAATATGCTTTCAAAAGACAGAAAGGTATGTACGAAGTAATATTAAGATTGAAGATTACGAAGACAAACTGTGAATGTGTCTGCAGCATTATGAACGATTCTGAACCACTCCATCCAAAATCTCCAGTTACTGCCTTCGGTTATCATCAAACAAGTTCTCATTACGAATTGACATCAGTTTGAATATCATTAAGAACCAGGTAAAATTGGATAACTGTTTCATCTTAATATGGGATTTGACGATACACTGGATGCGAAAAAGACAATCAAGGAAGAAGACGGTGATGCTTGGGAAGAAAAGTGTATTTGATTGTTGGTAGAGTTAGGGTAAAACGAGAATTGTAAACTGGCTACTTAGAGTAGCAGAAACGTTTCATGTTAAGTTGTGGAATGACCTGATGGTTATCTTTAACGGTGCTTCCTCATCTAGTTGACGTATAATAAAATTAACTAAGTCAACATCAATGTGGAACCCTTCAAAAATTATTCACCCTAAAGAAGTATTTACTTCTACAAACTATCATTACATAAACTCCACTACCTGACTATAGAATCCGGGATCTATAAGCCTTATAAAACCATCATTACCATTAAATTGATCAGTCCAATTCCCCTGATCTACACATTCAGATCCAATCGATTCGCGATATTATTCAACTGGTCTAACTGAATTCCAACAGTCCTGATTTCTCAGCAACATATTCAGTAATTAAATCCCAAAGATAGTTACTATTGACTGACTATTATTGAAATAAAAAGATTATTCAAAACTAAGACAGTTGGCATCATGAATAGACAGACTGTAACGAAACAACCATTGACCCTTGTTTTTTGAAGAATCGTTAAATAAAATATTGTTATTCTGTCAAATAACTAGATCACTTAGTTGTTTTTCTTTTATGTTTAAAAATGTATCAAAAATATTCAATATGCAAATTTTGCTACTTCATTATTGGTTTTTTTTAATCTTCCTATTTGTATCAGGGACTGCGATTAATCAGTTTCTGTTTGGCGTATGTTCATCCTGTACGAATTGTCTCGATATTGCCCTAACACAGCAGTATTATAAGCGGAGATGGATGATGGTTAACAGTGCACTTCGTCTGTCCTAAAGACGATCACATCATGATGATGTGACTGTTACTAAAAACCACTACTGACAATCTAAATGTATCGTGTCCTCAAACGCACCTTAAAAGTTAATAATTAAATTCGTGATAAAATTGTAAATGAGCTATAAAGTAAAGTGGCAACTGTTCAGTTCTCCTTGATCTTTCCAATTATACTTCAGCAGAGAAACAATTAAATTAAAGATAGTGATTCTTTAATTTTTGCTCGAAATTCAAAATACAATAATGACTATTTCATTTATTTAAACACATAAATATTGGTACAAAGAAGCAGCAAATACATATACACGACACAAATCATTGGATTTTTGTGAAAGCTGGAATACTTCCCGGCTTCCCAGAAACGAGGCAGGTGATTTTCTTGGGAGGTCACACCCGGAATCTTCGACCTAAAGATCTGATTAACAAGGCAATGAAGCAGCGTCAGGAGATGCAGTCCCATGGTAGCTGGTGACCAATAGGTAGTTCATACGCCATTTGTTCCCTCAGGATCCTGGAGCCCATGGGCACTATTGGTTTGGAATCAGGATTTGCCAACTTCCCTAGTTGGATCCTCCTTACCCGTCAACAGGTTAGAGCGCCAGACATTCACTTTTCGTTCTCTCAAGTTTGTAAATGACACCAGAAGATAGTGAATAGGAATTTACTGAAAGTGGCTGTGAACACGTGGTTGTGTAAGAGCATTTGGAGAGGGAGAGCGGACTCTCCCTACCCTCGGCCGTACCAGGGCATTTGGGGGCATAATAATAGCTATCTTAGTCTTCATTAGGCGCTAAACAAAACTTACACATATTTAGGTCCTAAAATCTATGATCCTGACAAAAACCGCTGTTGTATTACTATAAAGTAGATATAACGTAGTGTGGAAACTAGGTAGCAGTGAAATCCATCCATCTCTGTTTATAACGCTTAAGACTTAAGGCAATATCGAGGCAATCCTTACAACAATTACATATGCCCATATAAGACTGGTCAATTGCAGTTTTAAATATCAATGGGAAGATTCAAACAACTACTTAAAAAATGAATCAAATTTCACCCCATCATGCAAGCTAATGGCCATCTTAACCCAGTATCTAAGTTAATAAGACGATGGCATCTGAAGACAACGGTAATGTGTTTGAGTCCCGTTGCAGACATCAACTCTGGAAAGCAAACAAATCCATCTGACGAGCCCAAAATAAGACTAAACTTGCATCCTGAATTTCACTGATAGTCACAATCTATTTCTGCTTATAAAATTTAAATGAATTCTCACCAAATATTTACTCTATTACATGCTGAAGGTCAATGAATAGCCAATCAGATTTCATTCAATGTTAAATGTAAAGTTGATTAGAATTTAGAATCTTACATGTTGATTAATGTAAAATCAATTGTTTACAAAAAGATATTACTGAATTACTAATAATCTTTCCAATCAAATATAAATATACAGATTGAAATCATGAGTCAATTGAAGCTAGACCACCATGGAAAACCTGGAAGCACTGGACGGCCGTTTAGCCACGTAGAAGTGGCATAAACAGGTAACTTATCCTACAGTTGGGGAGTCACCATAGATCGGGTCGAATACGATAGACAGATGTTGGCAGGATTAAACGTTCTCTTTACTGCTATAGTCAATCTATCACATAATACATCACTAGCTATATATCGGAGTAAAGCTTGATGAAGATCTAATCGAAAACAATATTGTTCGCTCATATATCTTGTTCTAATTTATAATATGGGAATATTTCGAATCTATATTACTGTCAATTATGTAAGAGGAAGTAAGATGTAATTGCCTGTCTAATGGATAAACTAAATGAATATGTCAATCAAATAGAAAATTCATAGAATGACTTATTTTGAGTGTGAAGTTGTATATGTTTTGTATTGAGAAAATAAACTTGACTTCATACATACTACGTGTATAAACATTGAAATA